AACCGCAAATAAAGGGAGACGACTATACCATTAACCATGTACCCAGTGACCAGAAGAACTGTCAATTTCAGCTTTAAATAACACTCAAATCCATAAGCTTCTTTCCATCTTCATTATTAATTACTACCCTGGCAAAGAAACTATTCACTCCCAGGATGGAACAAAATCTCCTAACTGAACTCCTTGTTTTCAGATTTCTCCTCTCAAACTCCCTTACTTCTCCATACTAATTTGTGCACCACTTAGCCAAAGGGAACTAACTAGAATTCAAGTCTGATCACGTCATCTTCCAACTCAAAGGCCTTCAAAGGCTTCCCAATATCCTTAGGAAAAAGGTAAAATCCTTTCAGTCAGGGGTCCCCAACCCCTGGTACCAGTCTATGCCTGTTAGGAACTGGGCTGCATAGGAGGAGGTGAGCAGCGACGGGCAAGTGAGCAAAGCTTCATCTGTATTTGCTGCCATTCCCCAGCGCTAGCATCACCGCCTCAGCTCTACCTAAGATCATCAGACATTAGATTTTCATAGGAGCACTGGTCCCTCCCTGCTGCCAAAAGGGTTGGGGACTGCTGTTTTAAGTGGCTGAAATTCCTTCCGAATCAGGCACTTGCTTAGCCCTCTATCTTCATTTTGGTTAAAGCCTCCTCTCATATTATATGTAACTGAGAACCACACTTACTTCATTTCCTCCAAACAGCCAGGATCCTCAGTCAGGATCCCCTTTTATCTCTGCTCCTTAGGTTAGCTTATCTTCCCCAGTTTTTGTCTGAAATTTCTCTTTTGCTGGAAAACCTTTTCTGGCTTGTCAATTCTGTATTAAGCGCCCTTCTTATGTACTCATTTAGCAGCCCACCCCACCACAGCACTAATCACAGTGCACTGTAATTGCTTGTTCACTTGTGTATTAGCTCTGAAGGTAGGAACTGTCTCATTCGCCACTGTATTCATAGGACCTGGCATATTTCCTCAAATATTTAATGAAAATAGGGATACATAAATGAATGAATGAGTTCTCAATCTTGATTTTCAACCAAATCTTTGGTTTTCAATCAATTCTTTTCAACTAAAGATTTAACAAAGTTGAAAAATCCTAATCCAGGAGATCGTGATCCCTGCCATCATTCTGAAGGAAAACATAGTAATTCCAAGTACCATGACAATTATATCCTACCTTAATTGTATGCAATGTGTTACTATTGTAGTCATTAATAGGCATCGGTCATTAGAAAAGTATGACCCAAATTTTTACCCATCTTAGATGGCATAAGAGAGCATCAGAAGATAAAAACTAATGACTAAGACACTAGCTTTGTTTTCAATCCAATTCTAAGTATTCTCATCTGGGAGATTCTCCGGCATTATCAACACTTAGCTCCTACATGTATTTTTCTAGGCCGTGCAGAAACAGCCTATTTAATACAGGTACCCAGTTAGTGAGGTAGAAGACTAAGGCTAGAAATCTGCATTTTCATTCTCAACCTGTACACCAATTTACTTCCCTCTATTTGATTCAACTCCTACAAAAAAAGAGACATATCTGAAACTTACTTTATGTTTTACTAGAGGGAAAAAAAAAGATTCAAAGAATTGTCTAAAAAAAAAGATATACAGGGGACTTCTGGTTTCTAGTTCTGCATGTAAGGTACTAAAAAGTAAAAAGCTGAAGAGACTGAAAAATCAACTCTCTTCTTGGATCCTTAAGAGAGGGAAGAATATAGGGCAAACATAGGACAACACATATTGAAATATGCCAGAGGACTCTGTCTTAAGAAGGCCTGCCCTCTGGAGAAGATAGTTAACCAGAGCCTAACCTGCTGGGGTATTTATCAGAGTCTAACTGATCTGGAAGATGAGAACTACTCAACTCCAGCCCCCTCCAGCCTTCCACATGGTAGAAGGGAAATATCCAACTTCAAATCACTCTAGCCATTCTGTCCTACCTAAGGGAGAAGAAAAAGCTGAGTAACACTTGTGAAGCTCATAGTTCAGAGGAATAGGCTCACTAAAAGACTGATCCCTAATCATAGGGCTATAGAATGCTTCTCCTCCTTATACCAGGTATATCATGTCTGGCTACCAAGAAAAAAATTATGAGGCATAGTGAAAGGCAAAAAACATGATTTGAAGAGAGAGAGCAAGAATTAGAACCAGACATGGCAAGGATGACGAAAGTATCACACCAGGAATTTAAAACTACTGACATGTTGCTTAACGACAGGGATATGTTCTGAGAAATGCATCATTAGGCTATTTCATCATTTTGAGAACATCATGGAGTACACTTACACAAATCTAGATGGTACAGCCAACTACATACCTAGGCTATATGGTATAGCCTATTGCTCCTAGGCTACAAACTCAAACGGCATGTTACTGTATTAAATATTATAAGCAACTGTAACACAAAAAAGATAAAAAAAATGGTACACCTATAGAGGGTACTTACCATGAATGAAGCTTGCAGGACTGGAAGCTGCTCTGGGTGAGTCAGTGAGTGAGTGATGAGTGAATGTGAAGGCCTAGGATATGACTGTATACTGTAGACTTTATAAACATTGTCCTACAAGCCCTCCCCCTGCTTCCTTCTGACAGGATCAGAAAGGCAACATTGAAGTTGTCAATGCTTCTCCATGAACTCTGTGGGCTGGATGAACATGAACATGAAGTTTCATGTGGGCTGGATTGATAGACAATATTCAGGAGAAACTGGTTGGGTAAGGTGTAGATCACCACAATACTGACTGGCAGGGAATAAAAGGTGGCCTGAGGATCAGTAGGAATAAGAAATCAAAATGGAGAGATAAAAGAACATAGGGGATTGTCATGGCAATGTAGTTTTGGTTATTGCATGCTGGAGCAGTGGTCCAATTAAGGAACTTTAATTCATAAAAAAAGGGGGGGTGTGTTTAATATAGAGAGGGTATAGAACTGAGGGCTCAATATTTTGACTTTCAAAATTTGTTTTTGGTTCCACTGATCTTATCTGGCACAAAGGGCTCTCTCTAGCATTGAGTTGATGGAAGAAATAAAACTTATCTCTGCTTTACAACATTACAACGTGAAAGTATTTCCAAAGACATGGGCGGGCTGGCTCCACACTATCACAGAAAACTTTTACTAAAGTAGCAGTGGCACTTGATATTGGTTAAGGTTCCTCCTGTGGACCTGTGTCCTTGTACAGGATCTTAGAGCCTCAACAAAGAATTTACAATGATGTACATCAAAGACAATCAAGCTACTTCTGGGAGGGCTATCGCACTCTGTGCTGAAACAGGTCAGTGGCTCGCTGACTGGGATATAATCTGTGCACTCAAAATTAAGTTGCTGTAAGTGGGAGGGAATCTCCCAAACCCTACAGATATTGCTCCCATCAGAGAAGAAAAAATCTTTCTGAACCACATAGCCTTCCATTTCTTACAGGAAATTTCATCTCCATTATAATCTTATGGGACCATCGTCACATATGCAGTTCATTGTTGACCTAAACGTCGTTATGTGGTGATTATTATTAATACGTTAAAGGCTCTAATGTCCTTCAGTAGGTATATGAATAAGCTGTGATACATCCAGATACCGGAATATTATTCGACACTAAAAAGAAATGAGCTATCAAGCATGAAAAGACACAGAGAAACCTTAAATGCATATTACCAAGTGAAAGAAGCCAATCTGAAAAGGCTATATATTGTATGACTCCAATTATGTGACATTCTGAAAAAGGCAAAACTATGGTGGTAAAAATGATTAGTAAGTTGCCAGCAGGAGAGGGAGATGAAGAGGCATAGCACAGAGGATTTTTAGGGCAGTGAAACTACTCTCTCTGTATATATTATAATGGCAGACACATGTCATTATACATTTGTTCAAGCCCAAAGAATGCACAACACCAAGAGTGAGACCTAATGATCACTACAGGCTTTGGGTGACTATGATGTGTCAGTGTAGGTTCACCAAATTTAACAAACATACCACTCTGGTAGAGGATGTTCATAATGGGGGAGACTGTGCATGTGTTAGGTTGGTGGGTATATGGAATATCTCTGTACCTTTCTCTTAATTTCATTGTGAACCTAAAATTTAAAAAATGAAGTCTTAAAAAAATATACACACAAGTGTTTTTAAATAGTATTTCTATATAAAAGAAACTTATGGAATGACAGCAATCACTGAAGGAGTATGCTACTTTCCAGGTGTCAAAAAGTTGAAAGTATAAGCACTTACACTTATTCAAAGTGGAATTCTTAATTCAATCAACATTTAGTGAGTGCCTCCTATGTGTGTAAAACTAGGATAGTCACTGAGGATATAACAGTGAACTCAACATATATGTAGTTTCTATGCTCAGAGCTTATAGTCTACAGGGGGCATCACAAACAATCACGAATAAAAGAACTACAAATTTGGGCCATGCTACGAAGAAAACAAAGATATGCTGAAATACAGAGCATGGGGAAGTCAAAAAGGAGAGTTTTAGGCAGAGGGTGATTAAGGCCTTTATTAGAAGCCACATTTAAACAGTGTCCTCAGGATGAAAAGGGGCAAATCTTGTCAAGAGCTAGGTACAGAGCTTCCAGACAGAGGAACAGTCTCTAATGTTCTTGGTGAAAAAAGATCAGCAAGGCTGCGGATTACAATGTACAAGGTAAAGAGGTAGCAGGAGTCCATTATTCAGGATTTTATAGGTCGCTGATACTGCAATGAGTATCCATTTAAGCATTTAAAGCAGGGTAGTAATATTTATACTTAAAGAAATTTAGGTTTATAAAAGACATTTACATTTTTAAAATGATTGACTCTGGGTGCTGTGTGACCTATGCAGTGAAGTTAACCTAGAATTACCTGCTTTGGTAAAAGGCAATTTATTCTTTGCCATAGACAAGAAAATCGAAGCTCAGAGAGGTTATATTTACCGACTAGATCACACAGTCAAACAGAGCCAGGAGTCCAAAGCCTCAGTTCTTCCCTGTTGCCACAATTACCAAAAGACCCTGTGCTCACTCACCCATTCAGCCCCATTGAGTCAAAAGTGCACTGGCCTCAAAACTGTCCTCCTGAAACAATAAAAAACAAATGTGTGCAGTATTTTTAAATATGTCCACAATTTTTCTGCTAGGGAGCCAGACTAATAATTCCCCCTCCTTTGAATAACTTAAAATTACTTCTTTCTCTCACACTGATTGATATTCTCTATCACTTGAACGCTACATTTATGCCCCCTTTTTCGTGGCGAAATTTCTTCAAGGGATCTCATTTGTGTTTTGTTTTGTCTGTTGTTTTTAAAACAACAACTTCATTGAGATATCATTCACATACCACACAACTCATCTATTTAAAGCATATCTCTGTTTTAAAAAAAATTTTTGAATTCAGAGATATCAATCTGGGTCTATCTTTAGCCCACAATTAGTGCAACTGGTTTTTCTTGAGTTTGTTTGCCTGGTAAATACTTATCAGTTTCTCTCGTTGTTGACTCATTAATTTCACCATGACAGGGATGGACAGGGAGCTACGGCTTGAAGCAACTACTATATGGCTCAGAAAAGGACCTTATGAGGCTGTTTCTCCTGCCTTTGGCCATCACCTCTAAATCTTGTTCATGTATATTTGGTGGAGACTGCCTCATGTAAAAGTAAGCCAATTGTGATATTAAAAGCTATTATCATAGAGGAGGGAAAATATTTATTTACATAAATATTTAACATATAATATAAATAAATCATATATAGTTTCTTTATGACTTTGCTATTGTGGCTTCAAGAAACAACTGAATTATGTACTTTTCTTCTTTCTAGTCCAAAGTATATTATTCCTGGAAGACATTCCTTGAAATTTCTGGCATCAAATGAGTGCTGTTATCTGTTTTCATCACCTTGATAAAGTTTTCATTACTTTTATTTTAGTACTAATTTTTGTTGTCATTAATTCATTATAGTCTATTCTTTTTTGGGGAGAGGGGATTTAAGGTTGAGGGCTACTGGGTATTAAACCTTACTTATAATATCCTCTTCCTGGAGAACTCTTTTAATTTGAACAAATGTTCAAATTTACTGTGAACCTGGATAAAATCTGGTTTTATCCAGATTCTCACCCATTAGATTTTTAGCTGACTTCTTGCTACTTCAGAATATTTGTCACATTTGATTTTGTCAAATTAGACATATACCCTTCAAGTATTATGAAAATCTGACATCCCTGAGAATATTCAAAAGAAATATACCATCATGTTTTTTCAAAATTTTTTGAGAAGCACCTTTAGAAAAACTGGCCTCTTGAGGTGATTAAGCAAGCAATACTCGTTAAGATTTTAAATCACTATAAGTTTGTTTCGAAGTTAGCTTAATTTATCAAGCTTATCGCCTTGTGCTTATGTTATAGACATAAAATGTAATACCTTTCCCTTGAATAAACTATTATCATAAAAGGAAAATATTGCTTGTCTGAAGGCTTAAAAAAAAAGAAAAAAAAACAAAACTGAGTGATGTAGACCAGGGTTTTTTAATACCTTTCCCTTGAATAAACTATTATCATAAAAGGAAAATATTGCTTGTCTGAAGGCTTAAAAAAAACAGAACAAAACAAAACTGAGTGATGTAGACCAGGGTTTTTTATGATTCTCTAGATAATTCTACTGAATTATCTGTAGACCAGAGTTTTTTATGATTCTCCAGATAATTCCACTGAAAGAGAACTAAGAAACAAACTCATTAAGAAGCTGCAATGCTGAGAAGGAGCAGATATTAAATATGAGTGACAACTATGGTGAAGGTGCATGGTGGGAAAATGAATAGTGGATGTCCCACCTACAGCACAGCTACCTCTCAGCTACTGCTGAGTTTTGCCATGTGAAAATACAGGCCCAGTGTTGCCAGCTCTGATTCTTCGGGAGTTGCTAAACATTGAAATTTTAACAAAATCTCCCAGTTTTTATGTTAGAAACTCTTAAAAATTTTAAACTATGTCCAAGACATCAGTTTGCCACATCTGGTCTAAATCTGTTAAAGCAAAATACAGTTTTTAAAGTCTTTAGCATAAATAATCTATGTTGCCAAGAAAAAGGATAGGAACTCACAAAACAGGAAAAAAGTACCCTGTTTTAAACTAAAAAGTACCTTGTTCACTCCAGTAATAAAAACAAGCCTTAATATGAAAAGTGAGAGTCTGAAATAATGATAATGCTTTCCACAGAGAAGTTCAGAATATGATGGTTAGTATTGTTAACTAGACAAATTAAATTCATTTCTTATTTCTTATTCAAGGGAAAACTCCCATTTCTCAATTTCAAATCCAAATGAGAACAATTCAATGTATTATTCTAAGGAAATGAGCGGCATTCAAAACAAAAGGTTATTACACATTAGATAATGCAAGCATTTATATAATGAACAGATGGGTTTATAAAGGAAAAAGGCTACAATATATCATATAAAATTACCTCCAGTCCATGGGCTTATGGTGAAAGTAGCCACTTCTGATAGTGAGCTAGGTTAAGATCAGACACCCAAATTTCATTTAAAAGCATCTAGTCAAAGACTTAACACTAATATTGGTAAAATTTTTCCATTATGAAATGATCACACAATTAAACTTTCCTTGAGCAAACAAGATAGCCAATAGGATGAAGAAGGAGGGAGATTTGGGACTGTAGTGATTCTGTACAATAAGGTCTAAATTCTCTTCCTGTATTTCCCACTAATTTATTGATAAGCCACACAAAGCAAAAAGAAATCTCACAAGAGTGCCTACAAGTCTCTAATTAAACCTTATGTAACATTTCATTGAAATTTTATTCCTTTTTCTTGACTCAATTACCTTACGTAGTAAATATCTTTCACCTTCTGAAATCCTTATTCTAAAATGTTTTCTTCCTCTCGTGGAGCATAAAATCTTATAACATAAATGTTCTCATATTCAGATTTCTCTTTCTTAGTTTTATGAATGAACTAGCTACAAAGAAATCTAGTTTTTCTCCCAAACGTGCCAAGAGCTAAGCCCTTTTCATCTCAGGCACATACTATATTCTTACTTGGTACATGCAAAACAAGTTTTTAAACTCAGTTACTCTAAAGTTTAAGATAGGACTCTATTTTAATCATAGCAATATAAAACATATTACATTTTTATCTTCCTCTTGCTTTTGTCACAAATGGGTCTTCACTGTTCCACCACATTTATTGGTGACATGAAGGACTGCAGCTGAAAATCTGCTGCAGCATTAAATACAAATATTCATCTATTTTTTTAACTTTTGTCCAGTCTCAAGGAATTATTTGTTAATTGTTGGCTAAACACAAGGAATTTCACCAATTTGATTAGGATGTTTAAAGTTATATTTACTCCTCTCTGTCCTTCGAAGGGCTATTATCTGCTTATTCTCTCATTTTATAGCTTGCACAGTAGTGAAAAAAGAATAAATTCTTTCTAGTATTCTTAATACTAAAACATATAAAATATCTGAATCATAGAACTTGATCAATACAAAATTAATACCAAAAAAATGCCCAAATTTAATACAGAGCTCTTTTGGTCCTTTTGATTTTTGTGATATCTGGAACATGGACACTGTTTTTCCTGTAATCATTCTCTATAGCTAAATTGCAATAAAAGTATTGATTTTAAGGAGAAAGGAACAACATGAATTCAAGTGGTCTTCAACAATATTTTGCCTTCTCTGGGATATGGCTATAGTTACATTATACCACTCAGAAGCAGCATGGCAGCCTTCTATTTGAATTCTACAAGTATATATAATCAGCTTTAAACTTCATTTTTCATTTTCTGTAAAGATAACTGAATTCTATCAACTGGAGAAGGTCAAAGTAGGCAGTTCAAGCCTAAAACACAATTCACATACACTGACAGCTGTTAGTACTACATTACTTTCATATTATAATGGGTTACCTCATACCAAGAAAAACTCTACAGTTCTAGATTATCTAACCATTTCTATGAAAAATTAATTAATATTGGGGAGAACTGTATTCACAACTACTTTACTTATTAATTTTTTTAAAAACAGAAAAGAAAAGCTTTATTAGACGGGAAAGAACACTTCCACACATGGAAGCAGGCCTGAGCAAGAGAAGCGTGGCTCAAAAAGGCCTCACAACTACTTTAAATAAAGGTTTTTAAAGCTCCATTATTATAATTACCTTTACCTATCATAACTTTAGGGTTTAATTTATGGCTCTGAATTTTTACATTAATAAGAGCATCTTTTGAGTGACTCCAGCATACTAGGTACTATACAAGACACTTCACCTGGGTTATCTTATTTAACAAGTAACCTTTGGGACAGGCATTATTATTATCCCTTTACCCATGAAAGAAATAAATAAGTTCAGACATGTTAAGTAATCTAACACTACCACAGCTAAGAAATGGCAGAGAGAGAACTAAAACTTAGATATCTGCCTGATTCCAAATCTCTTACCCACATCATGTCACGTCTCATCATACCAGGTCACACCTCACCTCATTCAACATGAATGAAAACATCTGCATCTCAGCCTTACTGTGACTAAGGTATAAATTGCACAAACAAAATGTTTTTAATGTCATAAAAGATTCTTTTACGTTTAGTTTTCTTTCATTCATTCATTCATTCATTCATTTATTTACACGTACAGCACCTGGTCTTCCTAGGTGGTCTCCCATCCAAGTAATAACCAGGCCCAACCCTGCTTAGTTTCTGCAATCAGACAGGATCAAGCATGTTCAGGGTGGCATGGCCGTAGACTACGTTTAATTTTTAAGTTATGTAAAAATTATCAGCTGAGAAATAAATTGACTTATACACATTAAAACCAGTATGTCAGATAAATACAATTTATACTAATTTACCAACCTTTTACATTTTAGTATAATAGCTACAGGATTAAGAAACTCATCTTTATTTTCAGAGATTATATACTCAGCTTTAAACGTGAGCTGAAATTATTTGGAAAGAAGGGAATAAAGAAATGTTAGCAAGTATAATCTCAGGAGTAAAACACAAGAGTACTATTTTCTTTTTTAAAAAAAGCTTTATTAAAATATAGCTAACATACAATAT